CCTCCCGCCCCGGCCCCCGTCTCTGCCCCGGCGCCTGCCCCCGCCATGGCCCCGGCGCCCGCCCCCAAGAAGAGTCGGCCGAAGGCGGCCGGCCGTGGGCCACGAGGGGCCGCCAAGGTCGTCGGCTCGTCCCCGGCCGTGAAGAAGCCGCGGAAGAAGCCCGCCGCCGCGGCCGCGGCCCCGCCCGCCACCGTCGCCGAACCTCCTCCCGCCGCGCACGAGGTGCTCGAGGAAATGGCAACCCCATCCTCGTTCATGGACCTCCTCCAAAACGCGGAGGTGGACCTCGGAGCTCCGCCTCTAGACCCCTTTAGGGTTGGCGACGACTTGGAGGAAAAGGAGGAAGATGAGGAGGATGAAGGGGGTGACGAGGAGGAGGTGGCCGAGATAGGGGTGGAGGCATTCACCACCGCTTCCCGCGCACACGCTCGGTTGACAAACTACACCGAGGCGGAAGATGTCCTCTTGGTTCGTGCTTGGGCAGCTGTGGGAATGGATGCTACCACCGGCACCGATCAAACCGGTAAACTCTATTGGCAAAGGATCGAGGACGTCTATTGTAGGATCAAGCCGAAGACTAGTGGGTTCATCCATCGCACTTACCGGTCACTTCAAGGCCGGTGGGAGTTGATCAAGCCCGCTTGTTCTCGTTGGAGTGCGGCCATGGACCAAGTGAGGGATGCACCACCTAGTGGAATCGTGGACAGTGACTATGTGAGTACATATTTCTTCACTATTTTGATTATGTGTGTGCACTATGCTATTGGTGGGTTCTTATGTGATTTATGTGTGGTTGATAGGAGACAATTGCCGGCTTGAGGTACAAGGAGATGGCCGCTTCCAAGGGCAAGCCATTCCCATTTAAGCATGTTTGGTCAATTCTTCAAACCTTTGACAAGTGGAAGTTGAGGGATCAAGAGACCGCACCCAAGAAGTCGGCAATGCTAAGGATGGACGATAGTGAAGATGAGGAGGAGAGGAACGTGGGCAAGCCCGAGGGAAACAAGAAGGGCAAGCTAAGGGTGAAGATGGAAGAAGAGGCGTCAAGCCTAAGGGAGAAGATGGACCACGTGATGAAGGCAAGAGAGGAATTGACAACGAAGACATTGGAGACGAAGCTTCTTATCACCGAGAAGAAGAAAGAGGTCAAGCTTGCACAAGTTGAAGCAAAGCGTGAAGAAGCAAAGCGCAAGGCCGAGTTGGAGGAGAGGATGATCAAGCTCAAAGAGGCAAAGGTATGGAAAGAACTCATGGTGGAAGAGAAAGAGCACATGATGATGTCCAAGAAGGACATGGATCAAGACCAATTGCAATGGTGGAAGGACTACAAGGAGGACATCGCGGAGAGGAAGAGGATGTTCCGTGTTGCGTCCTCTACTTTTCGAGGTGACACTCCGATGAGTAGTTGTGGTGATGGCGGTGTGTACGACTCCACCGGTGCCGATGGAGATGCTTGATGAAGCCCGCTTGTGGTCTAGGAGATGGCGCCGAGGTGCAACTTTTGGTGATGGTGCCGATGAGAGGAGGAAGATGATGATTTTGTGATGTAAACTATTAAACCATGCATCAATGATTGTCATTTGGTAGTTTGTTTGGAAGTTGATTGTGTTCTTGTTGTCATAAATTGTGAGTTCTCAAATGATAGATTTAAAGGTTGGCGTTGAGGCAAAGACTAGAACCCTCAAATCCAACCCTTAAAGTAGTTTACGGGTTGGGTTTGAGGGTTCTAGTATTTGCCCCTGTTTTTCAACCCTTAAAAATATCAAAAAGTGGCACTTCTCAACCCTTAAAAGTGCTTTAAGGATTTGAGGGTTTGAGGGTTCTACTAGTAATGCTCTTAGTCCGTACAGGACGATGGACCCCGGATATTGCCAGATGGAGTATAATAATGAGCGAAGATAAAGGTAGGGAAGGCGATGGTTCTTCCCAGGTTGAGTATGGAGCAAAGAGCCGACAATGACGCACGATTTCTGGTTGACCGAGATTTGTCTTGACGAGAGAGGAAAACACGTGCTTCATCAGCTTAGATGTGATGATACCGTGATAGTCCGTCCTTTGATGATAAGGTGTCCAAGTTGCCAGCCCAGGACCAGGAGCGTGGTTTCGGTGGCGTCGTGCGCTGTCAGATTCGGTAATGAAATTGGTCTCCTTTGCTTGGAGAAAATTGAGTCTGACGGCGAAGGACTATTCCTTGGTCATTCGCTGAGACTGATAGATGCGGCGATCTGGCAGGGAAGGATAGTCCAGATACTAGATAAAATTGTTAGTCCAACAAAAGATATGTTGTCATTTATTATTAAAACCATCTAGGGAGCACTTGTGCTTTCATCCACGATGCGTCTTCACGCGTCATTCGCGTCCTCCAGGCCTCTGACATTTATGTGGCAGAAGGCATACAATGATGCAGACATCCACCGTCGAGATTGTCCTCCGCTCCCCCCACATCCAGTCCCGTCCTTTGCCCCGCCCCGCGAGGAGGAGCTCGGTCACCTCCTCTACTGTGTTGTGGCGGCATCGGCCTCACCTTCGCCGAAGAACCTGACTGATCACACATAGGCATACGTCGCGGATTACATGTGCGCCCCATCGTCGACGCCGGTTCAAGTGCGGGACACGTACCGAAGGAGAGGAGGGAGCCGAGGCATGAGCAGGCCATTGGTCTTGGCGGCGTCAGCAAGCGTAGGCCAGTGGTCGGCATCCATGATGGCGGCGCCGGATCGGACGACCTGCACTCCTGCAGGCAGCTCCATGGTTGGGTGTAGTAGGGGAGGGCGGCCGCTGCCGGAGTGAACAGAAGAGCGGCTGGCCGGGGAAAGGAGGAGGTGGAGCGGGCACGATGCAATGAAGAGCAGCCGAGGTGATCTATATATAGGGAGGCATACAGCAATGGAGATACATAGAGACTCTTCAAGAGAAAACTTCATAGGAGGCGACCGCTCATTGGAAAGAGGCACGTCAAGTGAATCACCCACCGCCCATGCATGATATTTTTTCTATACACATTTCATATTTTTCAAATATTTGTTTAATAATTTTTTCAAATGCTTGATTATATTTTCTAACTATAGATCAACTTTTTTACACACATTTTATATTTTTTTACACATTTAACGGTTTTTAAGTGCTTGATTAACACTATTTGAATAGGTGGTCAAGATTTTTTTTTCTATACTATTTTTTAAAATTTTCAAATGCATGATTAACATCTATTTAAAACAAGATTAATTTTTTTAATACATGGTCAATATTTTTCTAAACAAGTTTTCAAATATTCAAATTGTAGATTAACATTTTTCCAATACAAGTTTCATCCTTTTTTAGTACATGATCAAGAGAAAGTGGCAAAGTGGTCGGACCCTTCCCTGGACCCTGCGCAAGCGGGAGCTACATGCACCAGGTTGCCCTTTTTTTTTTATCAAGAGAAAGTGGCACACAAAAGACAAATAAGATGCTAGCGCTAGAGCTACACGGCGACTACACAGCGATGAAGCAATGAAGTTCAAAAAATTTGAACCAAAAACACACAGCCACACACCGGTTTCTACCCCACCATATCCCAAAGTAATACATGTGTCAAGGAAGGAAATGCCCACAAGTTGCTTTCAACCAAGTGGTTGAACCTCAGGGCAAAAACATCCCCGGATATAGGGGTTCGGTGATAAACGTTGCGATCACCAGGCTGTTGAGAGATAGCCGCCGTGTCAACTTTGGCGACTGGGTCTGGGTACAGTGCAGTCTTGGATAGTTGGATTGGTGGTTCTTCGCGAGGCCGCTCGATCAAATAAATGATCACGACGAGTAGCTGCTGCTCCCAGTACAAGCCTACCAAAAGGAAAAGAAAAGAAAAGAAAAGAAAAGAAGAGAGAGAGCGCCTGTGAGGCAACCCTGGACAGCAAGAGCTGAAGAAGAATCAGACTGATCCCAGCCGTTAATCATGCTCTGGCCCACAGGCCAGATGTCAACAACCAAGCTTGAGTGCTTGCCTCCTTATTAGTCACAAGGATGCAACAGTACAATTCGATAGAAGAAATCCTGTTCAAGTAAGGTCATGCATCAATGCTGTGGAAATCCCCTTTTAAACTGCTTGTGCTGAGCGCCGACTTTCATCGAATACGGCTTTCCACAGAATTCTATAGGGATCTATGAGATCGAGAATAGTCCTTTTATACAGACTGCTAAGTGCGGAGACGGGAATCGAACCCGTGACCTCAAGGTCAAAAAAGAAGATCTAGAATATGTCCAGATGTGTGTGTATATTTATCTAAATTGTGGTACTGAATTATTATTTTTGAGATGTGCCGAGGGTTTTATTTTTTCCGAGGGTGCTGTAGAATGTCAACAAGGAAAGGAGGGGTGTAATTAAGCCATTAGCACAAAGATGCGTCGCTGCACTGCATTAGCA